AATACTGGTAAACCACTTATACATATATAGATAAAAATAATTAAGGGACCTCACATATAATTAAAATAATTTATTGTATACTATATTTTAATGAATACTTCCACATATCATTAAAGATATAAATTAAATGTAATATGCAATAAAGTTTTATTAATGTCACAGGAGACTACAGAAAAATAGCTTATATTTCACTAGCAAGAGCACTGTCACAAACTAAGATACATTACCTAAAGAGATTCTAAGCTCTTTTAATTATGATAAAGGAGAAGGAGTTAAAAAGTTTAAGATTTAGAAACTTACCTACAACACTACTACTCTTACTGGATTCAAAATTGTTATCTTCCTCAAATAGACCAGGAGCTTCATATTGCTTGGGAGATTTATCTGTGATTGATTCTGTCAACTTTTTATTCTCTTTCTCCAGTAGAACTGAAGGACTAAATACATCATTTATACCTATAAACAGAGTTTAAAAATAGTCATCTGATATCTAGAGCTGAAGTTCTATAAATTGTTTTACTTAAAAAAAATTCAAAATCATTGGAGCAAATAAAGAATTTGCCTTATAAATCATTAGGCATAAAATTTGCTATACAACTTCCAAATACACAGATACTTCACTTCTTGTCAATGGACAGTACCATTTTAACTATAAGTAATCTTATTGTTTAACAATATTTCTAGGAAGGTTTTTCAAATATTGGTTTCTAAAGCAAAACAGTTCTGTCAAAAGTAGCAACAACAAAAATTAAAAATGTTTATTCAGATCTATAGTGCTGTTAAATCAAGATAATTTTAATCTCTCTGTTGGCCAGCAGAAAGAATTTAGAGTGACAAAACATTATTTTAAATCCAAAACAGGTATTCTTCTCCAAGTATAAATAACAATTCCTGGCAGAGTGTTTTTAGTGTGCTTTATGTTCCCTTATTACCTAATATGCAATAACATTTTGCTAGTTTATGAGACACTGTTGAAAGCGACCTCCTTTAAACCATTAATTTAAGATAGGAATCTTAAGATTCAAATTGGGGATGTATAGCCATGTTGCTTAGCCTTTATACTGTATCAGCCATGATGTAAAAGATGTACATGATGATTGGCTTCTTCATTCCTCCCCTCTGCCCATTTTCTGCCTTATTGTTATAACAGAACAGCAGAATAATAGAGTTGGAAGGGACCTAGGAGGTCTTCTAGTCCAACATCCTGTTCAGAGAGGAAACCCTATACCATTTCAGTCAAATGGTTGTCCAATCTCTTCTTTAAAAGCCTCCAGTATTGGAGCATTCACAACTTCTGGAGGCAAGTTGTTCTATTGATTAATTGTCTATCTATCAGATGTCTATCAGATGTGCTTGCTTGCAAGCAGATGTCTCAATGTTTTGTACTCTGACATCACTGAAAATTTATTCTGTTAATTAATATGAATGACTATTGGGAGCAAAACTGCAGAATATGAAAAAAGTAAATAGACTACATAAAAATTATTAGAATATAGATTAATCTTCAAACAGAAAGAATAGAAAATGCACAGTAGGAAAGTTGACGTAGAAACTATTTGGAGGAGAGCCATGAGAATTATACTACAAAATGACACAAAAGAGTTACAATAATGATTGCATCAAATGAGAGCAAGACAAAGATGCCATATAATATAAATAGAGAGAAAAGGACAGCTGCTGAGAAGAAGAAAAAGGTTCAGATTCAAGGTAATCAAGGTAATACTTGAATTATGAATGTTCAGTGATGTTTGAAATTTCAATGGCATTGAATGGATTTATGATTAATCTTCAAATTTCTGGTCATTGCAGTGCCCTCACAGTCACATGAACAAAATTTGGGAACTTGGCAACCAGCTCGCACTTATGACAGGTTGCAGTATCCCACTGTCCCAGATCCCTGTGAGGGAAATGAGTGATTCCAAAATATGATAGATAGATATAGATACAATGCAGTATTAGAATGCAGTATTGCAGGCCAACTCTGCCCTCTGCCAGGAGTTTGATCCTGACGGGCTCAAGGTTGACTCAGCGTTCCATCCTTCTGAGGTCGGTAAAATGAAGACCCAGATTGTTGTGTGTGTGTGGGGGGGGAATATGCTGATGTTGTAAACCACTCAGAGAGTGCTATAAAGCATTATGGTGTGGTGTATAAGTCTACAGTAAGTGCTATTGCTAATAGCTGTTCAGTAGAGGTCGCCGATCAAAATCATCTATCTATTTGAGCCATCATTTGTTTAAACACAGTTTACTGAAAACACAACTGGCTTGGTTCATACATAAAAACTAAAAATAAGAAAACTTTATTTTTAGTATGATGTGTAAAGCTGAATCTACTGTATATTCAGAAAATGCAAGCGCCACTTGTTTAGATCAACTAAAGCATCAAGGATAGCTTGCTTCTGTAATGAAGCTAAATGATTGGAAGATTCCATTCTACAGACATATTTACGAATTAGTGTAGTTTAAGGTCAATTAAATAAACTTAAAGATTAAAAAAATGCAGATCATTGGTCATTTTTTTTATTATCCATACCTGGAAAGAGAGAAACTGCTCCAGGAGGAACTTTCTTTACTGCTTTTAATGAAGGTTCTAAAAAGCATAGAAAATGGATGAAATTGAAACTTTCCTAAAGTCAACCTCTTTTTCTATAACTATGCCTTTAGGTATGTATTTGCCTTATTTCTGACTGTTCATGGGCACAGAGATGACCTCTTACATTGTTACAGATGTGACACTTTACAATATTACAATTGTAAGATGATGTGTCTTACAACTGTGTCTGCTGGGAGTCCTTTTACCGAGGACTTTGATGAAGTGGATATGGTGCTGTCTAATATGATTCCTATCATCGTGGGTAGATGGAATATAAGGGCTGAGGAAACAGTGAAATCTCACTGTGTAGAGCAGTGTTTCTCAACCTTGACAATTTTAAGGCATGTGGACTTCAACTCCCAGAATTCCACAGCCAGCAATGCTGGCTGTGGAATTCTGGGAGTTGAAGTCCACATGCCTTAAAATTGTCAAGGTTGAGAAACACTGGTGTAGAGCCTAAGGAAGATGACCCTCATGGAGACATGGAAGCTCTGTTACCAATGCAACAGGTGCCAATGAAGTGTGTTGAAGGTAAAGATTTACATCTAACCCATGAGAATAAATGAGAATCAATGAAAGGCTCTTTGGGGGGGGGGGTAACCACATTTTATAGTTACACTTGAAAAGTAAAGCTGCATTCTACAGTACTTTTTACTAAACTGGAGGGGGGCTTAAATATATTCTCATCTAGGATCAGATCATGTTTGTATCAATATACTTTCAAAGGAACTTTTAAAAAAGATCATCTTTCCCAAATGAACTGCAGAATTTTCTTGTGTTAATCTGTTAAATCTTCAAGTTTTATAAAAAAATTCTTACCATCATTTATTGGTATTCGTGTTTCTTTTTCCTTTGAATCTTCCTCTTTTGGCAATTCAGCAAAAAGATCCTTCTGGTTGAAAAATAGAATAATATACCTCATAACATAATGTGTTTTATATTCAGAAAACAGAATAATAGGTCATCAAGTACTGCAAAAACCACTCAAAATTATTTTATACATAATTTCACATATAACAAATTTTCAGTTTCTGGTTACTTATTAGGGCATGCATGTATAACAAGAATTTAGAGCTCATAATGAAATGTAGTTTATAATGTGAAAGAAGCAGTTAACTTTCAATTTCATCAAACTTTGGTGTGAGATCCCTCTGGAATCTAAGACACTATAAAATATAAATATATGTATAATCTAGACAAAAATTGTGTTCACAAAGCCACGTTTTTTTTAAAAAAAGTCATGGTTGTTAAACAAGTCATAATAGCCTAGTTTGCACACAAAGAATACCACAATGTGGCTTATCATTATAGTTACTTCTTGACTTGTGATCTTTCATTTAGCAACTATTTGAAGTTACAATGGCTCTGAAAAAAGCAACTGATGACTAGTCCTCACCTTGAAAATCTGAACTTTTCAGCATTTTTGATGTTCAAAAACAATCATGCTTGCTAGCTTTCTGGCTACAAAGTTGGCAAACACAATGTTTCTGAGCAGTAGAAAAGCTCTTTCTATGCACTTCGCTAGTCCACTAATTTGTAACTTTATCAAAGGAGGATATAAGGTTTGTCTGGCATGACCAGTTTTTAACAAACTCATGCTAACTTCTAGTAAACATTTTTTCACAGGTATTGATGTCAAGCTGATGGGTCTACAATATCCTGGATCCATTTTTTCCCTTTTGTAGATTGGTACCACATCGGGTCTTTTCCAGTCCTCTGCTAGTTCCCCTGTGATACAGGATCTTTGAAATATTACATTCAGTGGCTCTGATATTACATCTGTCACTCCTTCAGAATTCTGGGATGGAAACCATTTGGCCCAGGTGATTTCCACTTGTCCAGGGAGAATTCTCTTACTATTTCCTTGCCTATTTTGACTTGTGTACCTGTTCTATCTGTCTCGGAACAGATAGTCAATGCCAATGACTGTAATCCAAGGTCTGAAGAATGAGCCAGGTATTTGGTTCTCTTTTAAATATAGTCAGAATGTGGACCAGACATCTCTCGGGTGGGTTAATATTCAGAAGGGAAGTGCTATAAGAACACATATACTGTAAGAGAATCTCTCAGATTTCCCTTCCACTTTACTGGAAATAATTTTCGTACTTCTTGACTTGACTGATTCTTCTTGCTGCCTTGCTCTGCAAATAGATTTTGCTTACAGTACACAGATTAGATGATATTTTTCTCCTGCCTTTTTTTAAAAAAAAACTTATTTGGTCAACTCAAGATGGAAAACATTTCTAATACTCCTGCCTCTTATTTTTCCCACAATAACAGCCTTGTAAGGTGGGTTGGGCTGAGAGAGAGGGATTGGTCATCTACTTAGCTTTTATGCCTAAAGGAAGCTCATAATTCATGGTCTCCTGCCTTTTAGGCCAGCACATTTGGCACTACACCAAACTGACTTGCCTAGATCTTGTGGACCTCATTAGCCCTAAGCCCTGGGACTTCAGGAATAACAGGCCTGCTCTCTTTAGCTGAACAATCAGATTTGGTAAAACTGTCTAGACAAAACATTCTTTCTGCATACCATCCTCTACCTAATTCATACTCCTTCAATTATACCTGATTTATGACCAAGGTTATAACCCAGTGAGAAACATGTTATTTCTTTCCTGCTTAACTTTGTTCAGAACAGGATTGTAATGTTCTGAGGGATAGAAGATCCAACCTATGGAAACCAAATCTTTAAAAAAAGACTATAATACAATCAAATGAAGTACAGATGGCAGAGGTGCCATCAAGCCTTTTTGCCTAGTTCTCGGGACGTACAACTATTTAGATATGAAGTAGGAAAAATGGGCCTTAGAGGGTATAAATGTGGTCCTCTCAACCCCTCTTGAAAGAAGCCATGTCCCTTTCCAGGCTTACATGTTAGCTATACGATTCTGGGAAAATATGTGCCTGAATCAAGTAGGCATCAAAGAAGACAAATTAGGCTGCAGTGATTGTGTTTTCATCCTACCACAGTAATTTATCCTATAATCTTTTGGGGGGCATGGATTGCCTCTTCATGGAGATACATGCACCTAGGTTCAAAGTAGCTTTCTGCCTTGTATGCATATATCCCTAGCTAGTTCCCTAAAGGAATATACAAACCACATATTAACCTCATCATCGAAGAGTCCTGTCCCACCACTGAAGAGTCCAGCTTTAGAACCAAACGGTGAGAAATCTTCATCTGTCAGCTTGGGAGGTTTAAAGATATCCTCATCTAGAATAAGATAATGTTTTCATCAAAGGAGCTAAAAAAAAGACAGTTACGAAGTTCTCAGATAGATAGTAAGATAGTATGATTAGGAGCAAACTTTCCCCACTGAAGTTTCCCATAGACTGCACCTACTACCCATTCCACAGAAGATTAGAGCACAGGAGCCACAGAAGCTGTGTTTACAATCTCCTGGATAATTTTGGGGGATTCAAAATTCAAATTTCTTTCTATCCAATTAATTGAGAAAGCAAGAATGTCAAGATATTTTGTTATTTTTCAGCTTCTAGTAGTTTCTGCAGCACTTAAAAATGCACTGAAAAGAGATTTCTATCAGAGTCAACAAAATAATTAAAATATATGATCACAAAAGGCATGCAACTTCACACAACTTTTTCATATGATCTGACTTTTTCTGAATATACCGTAAATAATAAAATGAATGCACAATATTTCCAAGGCACAATGCCATTTAACAGTAAGCACATTCAGAACCTTAGAAAATGGCTGACTCAGGATTTACTTTTATCCTACATTTATAATTTTTATAACTCAAGGTGGTGAACATATCTAAATCATCCTTCATCCTCCTAAATAAGGTTGCTCTCATGTCTTCTCTTCTCATAGGAAATGCAGCTCCTAAAGACAATCCACCCCCCCACTCCCCAACTTACCATCTGAGTGAACATTAACATCTTCCTTAATAGGGACTGTAGTCTTATTTTTCGTATCTGTTCAGGAAGAAAATATTTATGATCATTTTTCTTCTTCACAACTGCATTACATATGAAGCATTTAAAAATGCAATGAACAGAAAAGTTGTCATCTGCCTGACTTTTCATTTTTTCCTATAGATTTAAGCTCTCTTTTTTCCCCACTGGCTTTGCCCCTTTAATTATGATTGATAGCTTTCAGTCTTCCTAGTGCCAGGCAATACATGCCAAACTGCAATTTTTATGGCTTTTCATGGCCAGCCATTACCCTAATGGGCTATGATCTCACACACACTGCCTGACCTTAAAATGGGCCGCTGGCTTACAGCTGGAAAGCAGACTTATCAATTCTACCTAGAAACATTTTCATGGTCTACTCGGCACACCTTCTTGAATTAGCTAGAATACCTTAGCCACACAATGATTCCAAAATTTGGAATGGATTTATCCCTGGCTAGATTTAATGTCCTCCCAAAAGCTGTTACTGAAAAGATATACTGAAAGATCCTTTCTGAAAAGAGATTGAGTCCATGTGGTAGAGGAGCAACTGAAATGATGGAACATGCTATTTTGTATTGTTACCATTTTGCAGATATTTGTCAGGAATCGCCATTCTTTACTAAATATCCTGACCATTCTGACTTGTTTTATCTTGTTATTATCAAATCAATCCAATTTTATTGACCACAGCTAAGTGGTCAGTCCCAAATATCTGGAGAACAGGTTGGAAGAGGTCTTGCCAGATTATCATTTTCTTTTTTCCTCCAGAGTCCAACTAATCTACAATTAAGTAATAAAATAACCTTTGCTGAATCTCTGTCAGGAAAAAAAAATAGTTCTTTTGAGCTTGGATGTATTGGATATACTTTTAACAAAAAAATTACATTTAACTTTGAACAAAGAATAGTTTTCATAATAAGAAACAGTTTATTCAAATAAGTAATTTCTTGATCTAGTATATATTATAAAGTGTAAGATACATTTAAATAATTCTCCTTGATACCAGTGAATACCTTCCTTTGAGCATTAATGAAAATACATAAAAAAAGCTAGATTGTAGTATAACAATTTACTGGAAATAAAAGATTGTTTTAAAAATATTATTAGAATAACATTTTCTGTCATACTTTATGAAGCAAAAGAAAAAAAAAGATACGTGGAATTGCTTACATAATTGTTCTTTCTGTTCTTTACTTAGCTCTTCCCTTTTGATTCGGGCTGCAAGCTCATCAGTAAACGATGTGGGTCTTTTCTTTTGAGTTCCAAACAGGGAAGTAGAAATGGGTTGGAGGGAGATGAGACACGCTGTTATTTTTTAAAAAAGTTTCTTCATAAAGGCAGACATATTATAGGCTAGGAAATGTTAGAGGGGAAAACACAACTTTCAAACTAATAGGAGCACATGGAAGTCCAGGATGCAGTATTCCAAGTATGGTCTTACCAAAGTTTTATAAAGCGGTACTAACACTTCACGTGATCTTGAGACTATCCCTCTGTTAATACAGCCTAGGATTGCATTGGCTTTTTTTGGTGGCTGAAGCACACTGCTGGCTCATATTTAAGTGGTTGTCTACTAGGACTCCTAGATCCCTCTTGCAATCACTGCTGTTTAGCCAGGTTCCACCTATTCTATACCTGTACATTTGGGTTTTTTTGCCTAAATCTAAAACCTTACATTTTTCAAAACTGAATTTCATTTTGTTAGATAGGGCCCAGTCTTTCGAGATCTTTCTGGATCTTCAGCCTATCTTCAGGGGTGCTGGCTATTCCTGCCAGACTGTCGTCTACAAATTTGATGAGTTTCCCCTCTATTCCCTCATCTAAATCATTTATGAAGATATTGAAAAACACTGGGCCTAGGACAGAACCTTGGGGTACATCACTGCTTACTTCATGTAGATGTAGTTTCATTAAGGACTATATGTTGAGTGTGGTTTGTCAGCCAGTTACAAATCCATCTGGTGGTGATGCTGTCTATCCCACATTTTTCTACCTTACTAAGAAGAAGGCTGTGGTCTACTTTGTCAAACGCCTTACTGAACTCCAAATATACTATGTCCACAGCATTTCTCCGGTCCACTAATTTAGTCACTTTGTCAAAGAATAACATTTGTTTGGCATGATCTTTGTTTTTGACAGTTGGCTTTTGGTTATAACTTTGCTTGCTTCTAGGTGTTCGCAGATCTGTTGCTTGATTATTTTTTCCAGGATCTTCTCAAGTACTGATGTTAGGCTGATTGGTCTGTAGTTTCCTCCATCCATTTCCCCTTTTTTGAAGATGAGAACCACATCCTTCAAACCTCTGGGATATAATCCTTCTGGTCCTGGTGATTTGAACTTGTCTAGGGTAGACAGATGTTCTTTTAACATTCTCTTGCCTGTTTTAATTTGTAATCCTAGTCTGTTTTTATGGTTGTTTTTGGTAGGCTGGGCTATTTTTTCCTTTTGAGTGAAGACAGATGCAAAGAATGAATTAAGCAGCTCTACTTTCTCCTACTGCCTGTCACTTCCTTGTCATCTTCTCTCCTTAGTGGACCGATTGTTTCCTTGACTTTTTTCTTGTTTTTTGCATGCTGGAAGATATTTTTTAAATTATTTTTGACATTTGTTTCAAGTCTTTATTGACTCTGAACCTTTCCTAACTTCATATTTGCAGATTCGGGCTATATGCAGGTATTCTGCTTTAGTTACTATATGTGTCTGTCTTTCCATTTTTTATACTTATCCTTTTTGTTTTTCAATTTATGAGAGTTCTTTATGCATGCTGGTTTCTTCTTGGATTTCTTGTTTTTCTTTTCCAGTGGCACTGTGGTGGAATGGGCTTTTATAATCACATTTTTCAGAGCTTCCCAAGCTTCTTCAGTTGTTTTCTCCTTTAAGATTTTCATCCATGGAATCCTTCCCAAGCTCTCTCTAAGTTTGTTGAAATCAGCTGTTTTAAACTCTAAGACACTAGTTTGATTTTGTTTTATTGCTTGTTTCTGCATTATATTGAATTCCAATATGATATGATCACTTCCCCCAAAGTTCCTGCAATTTCAACCTCCTCTATCATTTCAACTTTGTTAATAAGAATTAAGTCCAGTATAACTGACCCTCTAGTTCCCTTCCTAAAGAGAGACACTACTTGCGGTCATCTCCTGCTTGCATTCTGTGGTTCTACCTTTGAAAATGTGGAAGTTCAGTTGGTCTAGAATATGGTAGATACATGCAGTATTGAGCGTACTCAGTACATGTAACATTGCTTTGTGAACTTACTGGCTTCTAGTAAACTTCTGGGTACAATTCAATTTCTGGTTGTCATCTTTAAAACGCTATATGGCATCGGCCCTAATTGCTTGCAATACCCAGTAGTTTCTGTTTGTCTGAAGAGATCCAGCAATTCTTCAGGTTCAGTGAAGTCATGCTACCTGGTATCCTAAGTAGAGCACCTTCTTTGTCATTGTACCTGCATTATGGATAGCCTCCTCTGAAATTCAGGTAGCCCTAATCTTGCTGGCCTTCTGGAAGGCCATGAAGACTTGACTTTTCCCAAGCACTGGAAATGTTAATGGACCCTAGCATAAGCATATGAATCATATTGGTAAGGCATTTTCACAGAGGACCAGACTTTGTTCTTTTAATTGATTTGTGTATTATGTTTTGTTTTTCTGCTCTGCCCAGGACAGTTTTGATACCAACAGCACAAATACGGAAAAATGTAATGAACTAGCTCTTTGCGTATCCCTGTACTCATGCTGACCCTCAAATAAGTAATGTATTTTTTGTATTTTGCTTTGCTAAGAAGATTATACAACATAATGGTCATAGGAGAAAGAAAGAACAGTAGGTGTAGAATTGGCAAAAGGAGGAAATCCTAAAATATCTGGGGTATTACCAAAGTTGGTACAATATAATACTACTGGAGCAAGTATTTTATAAACAACCATTTCACTCATCACAGGAATGTTTTTGTATTTTTCAGTGCTATAATCCATGCTTTAAGTATTTTACTGATATGGTTTATTAATACTTTCTCATAAAACTGGTGATGCTGTTGAGCAGCAATTTCTTACCAATGTTGTATTTTCTTCTAGGTCACCCTCTTCCTCTTTTTCATAGTCACCAAAGAGATCTTCATCTTCATCACTCATTAGTACTGTTCTCTGGAAAAAAAATAAATAATGTATGTTTCCCTGCAATTGAGAAAAAAATTTCCTACAGTGAAACAGATCTAGCCAGCTTTTGACTTAATGTCTTCCTTTGTTTGCGAAAGAATATCCAGAACATATTGCTTTGCCTTCTTATTGAATGCTTCTGCTTATTATCCTGAAAGTCTCTTCAAAACACCATCGGCAATCATGCTTAGAATAAAATTCTTATTTCATCACTAAGCTACATTGATTCTATTTTCTATCTCTAGTCAAAATGCAAATGATAATATCAAAATCAGGTAGTTGCAAAGAACAGATAAAAAATGGATAAACTGCTGGAAGGTTGCATAGAGGCAAAAAAATAACGGCAAAAAGTATTGAGATAACAAGCATTCCATCTTGAAAAATGATGCTAAAAGAGGAGGACATGCATTTCCAAACTTCAAATTAGATTATCAAACAAACTGCCTATCATAACAGAAAGGATATAATTTCCAAATGGCAGACCATCAATTACAGAAGGAGCTGGTGTGGCTATTGGACCTCATAGGTACTTATGGTACGAAGGAAATTAAGCAAGCAAAGAAAATCTTTCTGTAGTGTTCAGTACCGGAAGGAAAAGCCCCAAGCTAAAGCAAAAATGTACAGCAAAGCTGGATCCTAAAGGGATTTGGGTAGGCAGCAAAGAGCTTGGAAACCTTTGGAAAGCTCTTTTCTGCCTATATGACTCCTTTTAAGACCCAGCTTCTGCCATGGTCGTTTGCTGCACGTTTGTGCCTTGGCTACTTATACTTTTGAGCTTTTTCTTCAGATCCTCGAGGCAAAAAGCTACAGAAAGATTTGCTTTGCTTGCTTGCTTCCTTTTCTCTCACTCTCCAGTCTGGAGTCAAAGCAAGTCACTTACAGATTTTGTCACCCTCTTTCTAGGTATGCAGTAACTTAGCAAATGAGGCTTTTAAAAGAGATTGGAGGGCAGAGGCGGAGAGTTTAGTTTTAGCACCAAATGGGGGCTGGTGGGTGAGAAAGATCAACAAGTCTATCCCTTCCAGCTTTTTTTGTTAACTGAAGAAATGTGACTTTCTGGGGAGAGGAGGAGGTTAAAGCAAGGGCAAAGTTTTGAGTAGCTTGTCCTGAAGCTTCCGCCTCCTCAAAGCCTAACAAGAGCCAGGAGAGGGTTTGTAATTCCCCAATGGCCAGCTGATCAGGGCAGAAAGTTCTGAAAGTAGCTGCCATTTCTGCAAGCAATTGTCAGAGGGCTGAAAATGGCTGCTATTTCCAGGAGGCATAGGGAGTAGGCCTCGCCAGGGCAGAATGGGAGGGGAGGAGTGTGTGCTGCAGCCACTGTAACTTTGAAACAGGGTTGTAATTTGGGGGCGTCTGTCGTAACTTTGACGTGACCTGTCATACCTTGAAGACAACCTGTAATAACTTTTCACCTCCTTATAAAGTTACAAATAAAAAAAACTCTTGTCACCACAGCACAACTTTTATCTATATACAATCCAGAAATTCTCAGCTTTTTAGTCCTGGTTCAACTAAATGTCCATTGGGCATTCAGCCAAATTTAAGAAGCACATTACACAGCAAAGCAGACTTAGACATTTTGAATATGGCTTCAGAGAAAGAATGGAGAGACAACAGTAACTGATTAAAAACAACTGTTGAAATGACCTCAGCAGACCATAATTTTCAATCTGGCTGCCTAGAAATAAAACAGTCTGGAGACAGATTGAGGTGGGGAAAAAGAAATGCACCTTACACTTATCTCCTCTATCCAGTACGGGGTACAGGACCACTTAAGATAGATTCTTACACTTAAATAAGGGAGGAAACATTATTTTTGTCACCAGCATCTTATCAATATATTTTCTCATGCTACATATTTTGTCAACCTAATAGTAATTTGGAGAGAACCGAAACCTGACAAAATGCATTTCTTACCTGTTTCTGATCTTCATCACTTATAGTCCCAAATTCTTCCAGTTCCTGAAAAGTTAAAAACACACACACACACACACATTTAAGAAAAGTGGCACTCAGCTTGACGGCATGCTGTCAACACTGTCTTGGACTTCTATGCAACAGCTCTTTAGATGGCAATTCTTCTGAAACACTATCTGAATTGTTTTCATATATGCTAGGGATAAGTGCTTATTTTATATTTAATTTAATTAAAAATATTCTCACCAATAGAGTAAACTGATAAATATCTAAACTTCCCAGAACCCTAGAAGCTTATATTTAGAAGCTGTTCTAAAATTCATTACAGAGATCATAAATCTACTCACCTCTTCTTCTTTTCCTTCACTGTCTATTAGGCTTCCATGGTCACCATCCACTGAACCTTTTGTTCCAAAGATGAAGAGAAAAGACAAGATTTGTGTGTTGTTTCTTTAACTGGTGATACAGATAGTCCTCAACTTTATAGCCACAACTGAAACCAACATTTCTGTTGCTCAGCGAGACAGTTGAGTTTTGCCCCATTTTACAGTCTCTCTTGCCATAATTGTTAAGTGAATCATTGTCAGTTGTTATGCTAGTAATACGGTTCTTAAGTGAATCTGGCTTCTCCATCGACTTGCTGGTCAGAAGGTCACAAAAGGTGACTGCAAAACCCCAGGACACTGCAACTGTCATAAATACATGCCAGTTGCAAAGCGTCCAATTTTTGATCATGTGACTATGGGGATGTTGCAACGGTCATGAAGTGTGAAAAACAGTCGTAACTCACTTTTTTTCAACGTCACTGTAACTTCGAACAGTTACTAAATGAATGGTTGCAAGTCAGAGACTACCTATAGCCCAAATGCCTTTCTCTATTTGAGGAATTTATTTATTTATTTTTATTTACTTGTGTCTTGCCTTTATTATCAGATATGTTTACTTTTATTTCTGGAAATTATAACCCCCCAACATTCTATATCAGGGGTCTTCCAACTTGGCCCTTTTATGACTTGCGGACTTCAACTCCCAGAATTCCTTAGCCAGGCATGCTGGACTTATTACTAATTATTACTAATTCTTTCACCTACCTTCAGTGGAAGGATCACCAAGCCCAACATCATCTTGTTCCATAAACAGCTGGGAGCCAATTAAGTATGGCAAAGGTCGATCAACATAAAGATCCTGTAAAACAAATTAAATTTAAAACACTTTTTAAAGATTAAACTTCAAACTATAACAATCTGCACAACTGTACTCTTTGATGGCTAATCACAGGACAATAAAATTGGAGAAAAATAGTTTGAAACATAACCCCCCCCCATCTACTTTTATAAATAGTTCATTTAATAGTGTTAGGAATCGGACGGAAGGGAGCCTATAGGTTGTTCTTTTGGGGAACTGTACAGACTACAAACAAAAAGGGATGCTATGTCTGCTACAAGGGAGGAGTTTAACACTGCCAAAAAATATCCCAAATTGTGATCATGTGACTGTGGAGGCAGGACAATAGTTTGAATTTAGGTCACAACAGTTTTTGGGAGGCCATTGTTAAGTAAATGGTAATAAGTTGAGGACTACCTATAATTTAGCTCTTACAAGCAAAGAAAACATGATTTTCCGAACAACCCTGAGAGGTAGTTTTCATTAATTTATAAAAATGGGAGGGAGTAGTCTACCAATACAATTATTGGAAAACAAACAAAGGAAAGCGGGCCAAGGACATACAGCAAAGTACCATATGAGCATACAGTTTTATTAATGATTGTGCCTGCCTGAGTAATACATTAACAAATTGATCTGCACTGATTGAATAAGGTAACTTGATTTAAATATATGACAGATTTAGAATCCCTCTCTGAGGGCGATGGATGGTTCAAAAATGTGAATACATAAATGAAATTAAATTGTCGCAGAATGAAGATGGAGTGCAATCCCATTCTTTTTTTTAAATAAGATCCAAGAGTATATAAACATTACTGACCAACTGATACAAGCCAGTTTAAGCAGGAGTCTCCTCATTTTGCTTCAATGTATCAAGAGATCATGATTAGCCCGAGGTCATTAAATAGCTTTTACTACTGAGTAAGTCAAGCCAGTGAAACTGAAGTGACCAGAAATACCAAGTTCCATTACCTTAGGCTCCAGTATTAGTTCCAGCCTTTCATTGGTTTCTTCTTCAGAGTCTGAGTTCCCTGCTTTGATGTCCAGTTGTTCAAAGGCACTGTCTAATACCTGCAGCCCAAAATTGATGGCTTCCTGAATCTTGGGAATCAAATCAGCTTCTTTCTGTTCACGGGTTTTCTCCTACAAAATCAAAATATTCAGATCCCATATTTTTCACATACAGTGGAGGAAGTTATAGTTTTTGGTCATCACTGTGAAATTACTTGCAGTAAAACTTATTTACAAAATATGGAGGTGAGGTGATTAACTTCACAAAACTCAATAAATCTTAACATAAATGTTACAAATTAAGACACAGAATCAAATTCCTAACTAACTTGTTAGAAAAGATAAGGAAATGAGGGTAGAATATAGTCCTCGATTTATAACCATTCATTTAGTGACTATTCAAAGTTACAAGGGCACCAAAATAAGTGACTGTTATGACTGTTATTCACATGACCACTGCAGCATCCCCATGGTCACATGATCAAAATTCAATCGCTGGCAACCGGCATGTATTTATGACAGTTGCAGTGTCCCAGTCTTCGATCCACCACCTAAAGTTTACTATTCCCCAAAGGCAAATAGTTTAGTCCCCTAACACTTAACTAGCTACCCCGTTAAATTCAGAAGCTGGAAATAAAAGTAAGTTTTGTAGCCTTTCTGTTAAAAAGAATTATCCAGTTAACTAGTATTTAATTAATGCTACCTCTACAAAGATGTGAAAAGATTGAGCCTATAGGCTCTTCCCCCTCCTAGAAGCTCTCTGGATTTTCATATCTTGATAAGGCCTCCTATTTTAAGACAGCAGTTTAGTAACTCTTGTACCATCACATACTTTCCAGGGAGCACCTCACCAGTCTTCTACTTCCTATTCCCAGTAAAGGAATAGGAAGAGATAGGACTCACACAACCCATCCTATTTTTCTGATTATTAAACAGTCAAAATACAAAACAAGAAAATGCCATGTTCTGGCTATATAGCATAAAGAAACACAATTAGAGAATTCACTCCTTTTTCCTTTCCTTGGTAGACAAACCAATCTAATAAACAAAAAATATTAAAAGAAAATATAAAATCTCTTTTTAATTTTAAATTAAAAACACAAACATTCAATGTAGGAGAAAACAACCTGCAAAAATTGTTCAAATTATTGGTAACTTAAATAAACAAAAAAAAATCCTGAAAAAATTCTACTCAATGATCTGAGTAGACCACAAAATTGCAGTGTATACGCTCTGCCCAGAATATTATAAATCACAAGGTAAAAGTACAAAATATTAAAGAGCAAGAATATTCCAAAGGGTAAAAGGGTGCATCTTTGAGCACATCACAATGTGTAAAATGTTGGAGTTATAAACAATTCCTTAACTTGTGGAGAGAAAATGTAGACTTCAGCACAACACAGAAACTAATGTGGATCCTAGTGCAATTAAATGCATTACCTATTTTTGTAAAAACAGAAACTCTTCAAACAAAGCAGAGGTTGTGGGGAGTGAAGTCACTTTTTTCCAGCCTTGGTCCAGTGACTTTTTTGGAGTTTTGCCCATAGATTAAAACAACCATTTTTCAATCTCCAGAAGAGAAGATTTCTGGTAATCTCACTTTGTGCATGACTCAGCGCATACTCCACTCCCTTGGGGATGTCTATATGACTGAACCTGTCTGGCAAATAATGGTGCGTCGCAGTCAGCCAGATTGGATTTGCCAATTTTGTCCACCTATCAACTCCTTCCCAAGGACATGAGATAGGCAGATGTGGACATTTGATATTATTTGTTAAATTTATTTGCCGCCCATCTCACTATGGGGCTACTCTAGGCAGCTTGCAACAATAAAAAGGAAGAAATGAAAAGAGTGTGAAGAGAAGTAAGATACAGAACAATAAAATAAACAATGAAAGAGAACACAAGAAATATAACTATATGATTATCAAAAAAGAAAGATGGACAGGTCTAAAGAACCGGGGGGGGGGGGCATTTGCCATCAACCCAGCAGCCACCTCCAGCGTGGAACTCCCCAATTTAGACCTAGGCCAACTGGTTTTTATATTATATTTTTATATTTATTTTATAAAATATAATTTATATTTATACTATTTATATTTATATTATATATAAATATTGGTTACATTCATAATGACGAATGGCAACATTCTGATTGAAGTGCGTGCTTCTGCTTGTTTGTATCCTTTCCATCGTTCCCTTACAGCATTGTATACAGATTGGATTTTACCCAACGGGACATTTTTTCTATATATTAAACTTGCCTGTTCTAATTTGTCTCCTCCTTCAGTTTTGGATATGAGTTCATCCATTTCATCATCATAAACTCTCTATAAATATAAACAAAATAATTTAAACAAATATTTGGATACAAATTCATAACTTCATCTTCAAGTGTTTATAAATAAATAATGTTAATTAATATTTAATATCTATTACACATATTATTCATTTGCCAGAGAAATAGGAGGAAAGTGACATCCTTCAATTTTGAGGAAATCTAGCCCAGGTCTGGCCAGACTTTTGGGAGATCCAACCTGCCACTGGAAGGTGACCAAAGATTACTCCTTTATTTCACTCTCCAAATTACTGGTTATAGCCTGTTCACCAACCAGATACAACTAATGATATGAGGTAAACACTTTTCCTAAAACACCAAATCACCTTGATCATACTCGAAACCAGTAATGGATAGTGGAGCAAGTCAAACTTTTATCAATCCCTAGCTTATGACACGCATTGGATGAGATGTATGTAATATTCCTGGCTCTTACTATGAGATCCTGAGCAACCAACTAAGTGAAGTTCATGTTGACAAACTCCTTGTTAGTTTATGTACATCTGAGTTTGAGTGGGATTCATCTGTCATTTCTACTGTGACTCCTCAAAATCCCTCAATCTCGCTGCCATGGCCATGTATTTATGCATAGTCAACAATTTTGCTGGGCTGTAATCCCTAACCAGTAGGGTCAAACAAGGTGCCCTGACTCTGAGGCTCTTTGCATTTGTGGATAAATACATGAAGCACGGAGGTGATACTCTGGCCAGCAGGAGACCATTCAGCACAGAAAGAAAATCAGCTATTTATTTTTTTTAAACAGAGCCAGTTTAGTTAGTAGTTAAGGTGCTAGACTAGAAACCGAGTGACTGAGTTCTAGTCTTCTCTCAGGTAGGGAAGCTGACAGATTATTTTGGACCAATCACCCTGTCTCTCAGCCCAACTTCTTCCACAGGTTGTTGTGATGGGGAAAATAGGAGGAGCATTATGGATACTGTCTTGAGTTGTGCAAAATAAAGGTGGGAAATAAACCTAATAAATAAATACTTTTGTCATTCAACATGTTACTACTTGGAAGTCGAGAAGATAAGTTTGTATTTTTTTAAAAATAAAGATTTCTGTCAGGAAATTGAATTTAACATGGGTTAAGGTATCATTTTCAACAGAAAAACAAGTGGAGTGCTAGAGGTAATATTGATGGTGTGTGTTTTTGCACCACTGTGCTTAAGTTCACACCCAATTACTAGAACATGCTCATTTGATTGGAATGCATACGTATGTATGGGACGGGTTGCACTACTTTCATGGTCAGTGTGCAGGTGTTAGAATTGGTCAGGAAGTCCTTTCCATAAGTTCATCTAGCGTGATAGTTACACCCTTTCTTAGAACAAGGGGCCATTCAGATGGGCAGTCATGCCCTAGAGTAATGGTCTGTGGGAATGACCTTAAAAGGCAGATGGATAGAGTTCCAATGTGCTGACTGAAAACATCCACTCTGGTATTTGACTTCTCACAATAATAATGCTCCACTAATCATAAACTCGTTTGTTTAAAACGTCAAGTTTTCTATTATTTTGATATGCAGGTATTTTAAATTGTATAAAAAGTTTTGCAATACTGAAAGATGCATTGTATGATAAATAACTATTTTAAATAAACAAATAACATGTTAAACTGCAACTTCTTTCAGATCACCTTTTATCAGAGCTGAAATCTGACATTAATCTTTCTCTATTTATAACATAATATATATATATAAAAGCAACATACGTTTTCAATGAACTGCATATTTGAAAGCATGAGGAAACCATTGAAGACATTATGTAGGCGGCAATCTATACTTTTAGTTTCGTGAATCAGTCTGTCCATCTGCTTCTTTATTTCATGGGTCCTGGAGATTGTTTGCTGGGAGAATTCTTGCAGAAACTGCAAAAGCTGCCAAAAATATGTTTGTATAGAATTTAAATCACACTGTGGATGGATGGAGGGAGGGAGGGAGGGAGAGAGAGAGAGATGGAGGGCGGGCGGGGTTGTAAAAGCACTGCCATGTTAAGTTTGAAAAGATATGGAGCATCAAACCTATTTTTTTTAAGAAACCTTTGGAAGCATTTCCAGAAAGTTATAACATAAAATGAAGAGATGAATCAATGACTAATAACGGGGACTCTCTGTAAAATTCCTGCTGTTTTAAGAGAAAACCCTGGTGAGTTAGTATAAAACTTGCAACAGATGTTAAGTGCAAACAAAATACTTTTTCAGAAAAATACATATTGTGTTTCTTTGATTAATTTATTACCAAAGGTGGGAAAGGCTATGGGTGTTTTCAAACGGAAAAGAGGTACTGCAGAATATTACTGTAAAATTATACAGTTCTAGTTACCAACTGTGTATTATGAATAATAGATGTACGTTTTCATAATTATATCTACGATCACAAATTTCCAACAAACCATTTCAGGTTGTTTTTTTTCCTTTGCATAAGTGAAAGACAACTCTTTATCACCAAAACTCTTCTTTTTGGAGGTATGATTATACTTTCACAATTAAGCACAATACTCTGTAGCCATTTTCCCTATTCATTTTCGGTTGACACAATACTTGAAGAGAAACAGAGTATTTTTTTTAAAAAAAAATCAATTCTATGTGACCCTTTTCAACTGCAGAATTCCACAAATGGTTAATAATTAAAAGACAGGACAGCCACCTGTCTGAAATGATATAGGGTCTCCTGCTTGAGCAGGGGGCTGGACTAGAAGACCTCCAAGGTCCCTTCCAGTTCTATTCTGATTATTATTCTTATTCTTAATTATTATTATTATTATTATTATTATTATTATTATTATTATTATTATTATTATTATTATTATTATTATTATTATTATTAATTCAAACACACATCTGATGTTGTCCTTCGCCTCCGTATGGGAAAAAAACCCCTCCACTGATTAAGACTGAGCACAGGCTAAACCAGGGGTAGGCAACCTTGGCTCTTTTATGACTCGTGGACTTCAACTCCCAGAATTCCTGAGCCAGCCATGTTGAGGGGACAGGGAGAGGTTTCCATGCTGAGCCATGCTGGCTCAGGAATTCTGGGAGTTGAAGTCCACGAGTCATAAAAGAGCCAAGGTTGCCTACCCCTGGGCTAAACGCGCTGTTTCTCAACCTTGACAATTTTAAGGCATGTGGACTTCAACTCCCAGAATTCCACAGCCAGCATTGCTGGCTGTGGAATTCTGGGAGTTGAAGTCCACATGCCTTAAAATTGTCAAGGTTGAGAAACACTGGGCTAAAGAGCTAAATGTATCTGTCAAGCCGCGTCTTACAAACTGGTGGGAGGAGGAGGAGTTGCGTTTCATGGTTAAGTTGCCATTGACAACCATCATAGGGAGCGACTGGCAGCCCAACTGATGGCTCCCGAAGGGAAGAACCGGCTCCTTCCACGGCCCTGAAAGCAGACCTCTGCATAGGTTCACGGGGCTCCCCCCACCCGCCGCCGCCTGTCCTCACCCCCGCGTCGGCCGCCAGGGACCACGACTGGCTCCTGGAGCGAATCTCTTCGAGGGACCAGGCGCGCTCCCAAAGCAGCAGCGCCGCCGCTGCCGCCGCCGCCTTGGTCGCTCCGGCTCCGGCTCCGGAGGAAGCCTCCGTGTCATCGGAGGCGGAGGAGGACGAGGCGGCAGAAGACATCTCGGCACTGACCAAGCGCCCTCTCAAAAGCCGCGGCAATGGCGTCCGTCAGCTGACGCCACTCACGTGATCTGCGCTCTCGGAAGCTCCCTAAAGCGGTTTCCCTCCCCCCTCCCCGTAAGAGCTTTCGGCTGGAATCGGAGGCGGCGTTCTAGAGGCTTCCGCCAGTCCGCCGGAGCTGTGCGTGAAAACTTCAGGACTGGCGGAAGGGCAACGGACGAAGCGAAGAACCCGGAAGGCCACCAAGCCCCAGTTGGAGGTTGGCCGGCGGCGGGTAATAATAATAATAATAATAATAATAATAATAATAATAATAATAATAATAATAATAATAATAATAATAATAATAATAATAATAATAATAATAATAATAATAGTAGTAGTAGTAGTAGTAGTAGTAGTAGTAGTAGTAGTAAAGTTGGAAGGGACCTTGAAGGTCATCTAGTCCAACCCCCTGCTCAGGCAGGAAACCCTATACCAT